TGAGCACTTGAATTCAGTTATGAGGAACAGATACTGTGTGCTGCTGCCAGTCTGGAACATGGTGCGCTGCAGCTTTCCCCTCAAACCCGCCTTTCACTTTTCAGTTTTAAGGCTGCAAAGGGTGGCGACTTGCTGCTTCATCTGATGCTCTCGGGCCATCTTTTCTGTTCTTGTTTTCCTTCTTAGCAGTCAAGCTCTCTGCTCGATCTTTGCAGTCCGCAGCTTTTTTTTTTTTTTTTTTTTTCTTTTTTTGTCTTTTTCATTTTTATCGGTACCAGGGATCGAACTCACGACTGCCTGCTTGCAACGCAGGCGCTTAGGCCGCTGAGCTAAATCCCCAGCCCCCTGCAGTCCGCAGCTTTACTAGAGCTTCCTTTCTGGTCAAGCTCACAACATTTTAAATCATTCTGGAGGGCTCTCTGCTCTTTGACTCTCAACATAGATCTGGCTAAAAGCCCCCAGCAGCAGTGGTGCTTCTGCCTCAACATTGAACTGCCTTGAAATTTCTTTTGCCAGATTAATTAGTCCACCGTCCTTAATCTCAGCCTCAGGCAAAGTCTCTGGATGCAAGCAAAATGCAGACAAACTGTCTACCAAGGCGTAACACACATCATCTGGACTCCAGCACCACTGCAGTGGTTCCCAAACCAGGCCTTTACTGACAGAATCTCCCACACAGAGCAGCCTAAGACATTCCAGCTCTGCTCTTTCTGGCAGCATCTCTGAAGCTTTCCAAACTCTGCCCCAGCCGTTCCCAAGGCTCCTGGACCACGTGGTCAGGTGCAGTCACAACAGCGGCCCTGCTGGTGTCAGACTCTGTCTTGGATACTTTTCTCATTGCTGAGGCAAAATGCCTGACCCCAGAGGTAAGAGAGGGAAGGTGTATTTCACACACAGTTCGTGGAGGTCCTTTTAAATATCCTGCCTCGCCCCTTCCTGGTGCGTGGTGGGCTTGCTCTCTGCCCCTGAGCGGCTCCTCAGCCAGCACCTCTTTGCTCTTGTGTCTTCTTAGGGGTTGCAGTTCTGGTTCTGGGTCACCCCTCGTGTCCTCAGGGCCCAGCCATGTGTAGCCCACCACAGTCTCCTTCCTCTTCAAGGTGGAGTGACAGGGTTTCGCTTCTGTGCTTCAATCCTCCATCCGTCCTCTGTCCATCTGTCCATCTGTCTGTGTTTACCGTGTTGCTGTGGCCACCCCTTAGCCCCCCAGCTCCAGGCCCCAGCTCAGAGGCAGCATGGTGAGCGCCTGAGTCCACCTGGTGACCTCTCAGGTCTGGGTGTCCCCGGTCCTGCACGTCACTGCTCTCCTGCTTAGCTTTCGTGACTCCGCTGCCCTGTCTGGAGCGGGCACTTCCTGGAGAGAATTCCATCGCCCTCTGAGTCGCAGCCTTTTGAATTGGTGGCCTGGGACACTGCAGCCACTGCTCATAAAGCAGCGTTGTCCATGCCCAGCACCTGGTGAGGTGGCGCCCGGTGTGGCTCTGGAGGGGACGGTGCTGTGTGCCCTGGTGGGGACGGTGCTGGGTGTTTCCGGGTGCCTGGTCTGAAACCCTTCGAGGGCTGTTTCCCTGACGGTAGATGGGAAGGTTCGTGGAGCAGTGAGTGGCTGTAGACCCACGTTGTATGCTGCGTACTGAACGCTCCTTGGAGGAGCATTTGGTCAGAACGACATCACACTTCGAGGAGAGTTTATAGTCACCTTGGGAATTGTAGGAAAAATCCGTCAAGGATTGTTTGTACCCCTGGGCCTTTTTATTGTATTTTTTTACTTTGAGACAGTGTCTCACAGTCCTCTTCCTAAGCCTCTGGGGCAGCTGGGATGCAGGCACGTGCCACCTGCAGCGGTGGCCACCATAAACGTGGGCATGGGTGTGAGTACAGGTCTGTGCCCAGAGTCTGAGCAGGCACCTGGCATCCAGAAGTGGCACGTTGGCCTGCAGCAAGCATCGTGTTCCGGTGGCCTTATGGGAGAGCAGGACAGTGTGATTGGGGGACAGAGTAGCGGTGGCTCACAGGGGTCTTCAGAGACCCCTGTCTATGACACCTCAACCGGAAGGTGGCTGAGTGATTTGGTGGGGCCGTTTTGGGGGGTAGGCCGGCCCTTTCCCTCTTGCACCTGGTCAGCCCTCGGGTGGTCTGCATATGAGTGTGTTACACATGTGCCAGCCACCTCGCCAGGTACCATCATGGGCATAACCCCAGCATGGCGCCACCTCCATCTTGGCAGGAGGGAGGGACCTGAATCTTGTTGGGGATCGTCAAGGCGGTGGCTTTGGGTGCTCACTGGTGTCCACACGATCTTCCCTCTCAGCAGCGGAGTGTGCTGGGTGCTCTCCTCCCCGGACCGAGCTTTGGTTGCAGCTGTGAGTGTGGCGAGCGGAAGGGAGAGGCCGAGGGGCTCCCAAGCCCCTGCCCTGGGCTGGGGTGGGCTCCACAGCCTCTGACCCTGCCCACACTGCTGGTCAGGGTCTACTCAGGCCACTGGAGAAGCTGTGCCAGGCGGGCATCCCCACAGAGTTGCCATGTGACACCCTCACGGCCCTGCTGCGACAGTGGAAGCAAACACCTCCATCAGGGTTCTCGGTGCGTTGGAGTTGGTGCCCACTCTGCACTGTGCGATAAAACTGTGCCAGTGCAAATCAGGGTGCAGGCCTTGTGCTTCTGCGAGGGGAGGCTCGAGTCTGGCAGAACCACTTGCGACCACAGGGCACCACGCCTGACTTCCCTGTGTCTTCTCCATGACCACCCAGCGCCACTCCCTGGGGGCAGGTGGGTTAAGGGGCACCAGAGCCCAAGGGCACCCCAGGCCCCACCGTGGCCCCTGATGACGATGATGATGGGGTGTGTGGAGGCCTCTGAGCTGCTGTCCCGGCCCAGTACAGCCTGGGGAGATGAGTATGCTGGGTCCTGGACACAAAGGGAGGCCTGTCCACCCGAGAGGCACGCCGACGTCTCATCCCATCCTGAGCAGGGAGCAGCGGCGCCCCAGGGGCTCAGGGCTCCGACTCCTGCGTGTGTGTGTGTGTGTGTGTGTGTGTGTGTGTGTGTGGTCGTCTCTGTGGAGACGCACCCCTGGGGTCTGGTGCCAGCAGCGGCGTCCCCGTCCAGGCCCCCAGGGGCCTCGCAACCCCAGAGCAGAGCCACGAGCCAGAACAAAGCTTGCTTCTTTATAACTTGCCCAGGCTGTGATCCTGCGTGACTGGCACCAGGACATGAACTAAGACAAAAGGAACACAACAGCACCTTCTGCCTGGGGTCCCAGCACTGTGGTCTAACAAGGGAACTGCAGGTTCCTGCCAGCCTGGGAAATTTAGCAACTCGGTGAGACCCTGTCTCAAAATAAAAAGGCCGGGCACGCAGCTCAGTACAGAGGCCCTGGTTCAGTTCCCAGGACTGCAAAGGGAAATAAAGTAAAAGAAAACCACTAACTCATAAATACAGCATGATTGAAAAGTCCAGTGAATGTGGGCTTATAGATTTATACTTCTGTGGGCATGTATATTTATACAGATAAGACGTCCTTTTTTTTAATTAAAAGCTTTTTCCCACCATCTCACTATGTAGCCCTTGAGCTTCTGTCCTTGAACTGGCAGGCTCTGCCTCTGCCTCCAGAGTGCGGGGCTCACAGGTGTGTGCCACCACGCCTGGCTGTTTTTCTGGTGCTGGGGTTAGAACCTAGGCAGCCTCTACTGTCCAGCCTCTCCCTCAGGCCCCCCGTCCAGTTTTGCCAGGTGACTTGGGGCTCCCGGGGCATCTGAATTAGGTCTGAGATGCGCATTACTTCTGCGGTGAGCTCTGGTCTAGACCTAGGCTCCCTGGTGCCCTCTGCAGGCCCGGGTCTGTCCCTCCACACCCGGGTGTCTGCCAGGGGCTCAGGTGTGCCACTGCCTGGCAGCCCTCTCCGAGCTTCCTGGTCAAGGATGTGCCGCCCAGCTGGGACACTGGCCCAGGGCTGGTGTCTACGAGGCCAGTGGCCGTGTGGGGGACTCAGGATGCTGAGGGCCCCAGGGGGCTTTGTTCAGGAGCAGCCCCTCGTCAGCAGCCTCTGCCCATCTGAGTTCTGCGGATCTTCTGTGCCCAGAGCCTCAGGGCTGTCGGCTTCCACCCAGGCCAGGCTTCTGGGCGGGACTTGGGGTGACACACGAGGGGTGGTGTCTGACTGCACCTTGGGGATGGAGTCCTGGCCGTAGGAGTCACTGTCAGGATTTGCCAGCTGTGCCCTGGTGCCCTGGCCTGGTGCTGCACCTGGTCACCCAGGAGGGGCCACGGGCCCTTTTCCCGTCCCTCGTGCACTCACTGCCCAGGATATGTTGTGACCTGGCTTCCGTTTTGGGTCCTTGGCCAGCTGCCCCCCATGGCCCTCTGTGGGCGTCACCCTCCATCCGCTCTGCTCCTGCCCCGCAGTGTAAGATGTGCTGTCTTCTGGGCCCGTAGCAGTGCAAAGGGGAGCGGTTCCCTGCACCAGGGGTGCTGGTGGTGGCAGTAGGTGGCCAGCAGTGCACACTGTGGGCTGGGATGTCGGGCTTTCTGTCCCCAGCCGAGGTGAGACCTGAGCCAGAGTCAGGGCTTAGTCGGACGTGTGGATGGTGGCTGGGGCTGAGGCAGCGGCGAAGGATCCGTAGAGGCCGCGGCAGGCTGTGCTGCCATGCGCATGGCCAGGTTGGCCCTGGGGCCAGCTGGCCCCCGGTGCTGGCCCGGTTTCCATGGGAACAAGGCACCATCTCCAATCAGCTGAATTTCTGCCCCTCATTCTCAACCCGGGACCGCCAGGTTCCGTGTGTGCAGCGAGGCTGAGGTCAGTGTGGGTCACTGGCTCGGGGAGGGCGGCGCTGCTGGACACGGAGGAGCGGCCGCCTTGCGGCTGTGTGAGGAGCCGTGGGGGAAGCCAGGACCGACCGCCAGTGTCCGGGGCTTGTGTGTGTGTCGCCCTCCCGCTGCCTGTGCCTCCGGCCTCTGTCCCGCCCCTGTGTGATTCTTGACTCTCACACCTGTCTCTGTTGCAGAGTACGGCGTTTGTGAGAACCTGCGGAAGCTGGAGATCACCGGTGTGTCCTGCCGGGACGTCTATGCCAAGCGTGAGTTCCTCTCTGTTGGCTTTGTCTCGGGAGTACGGAGCCTTGTGACGCGTAGGGAGGGCACTGTCACATGTGCTCAGAAGTGCGGGGCCACCCGGGCAGCCCTCACGGGAGGAAGAGCTGTGATCTCCGTCGTGGCTAAACCCGGCCCTGTCTCCGTGTATCCAAATGCACAGAGCTGCCTAGGACTTTTCCGTAGCCTCTCAATTGGCTTTAAGCAATCTAACTCGGTCTGGCCTGGGCTGAAGTGTGGTCTTTGGAGCCCAGGACAGTCAGTGCTGCCCCATCTGCAGCTCCCAAAAACATGTGTGAGTGGGCGGGAGGGCGAGCCAGGCTCCACGCTGTCCACTGGGATTGGCCTTGGGGTGAGTGCTGTGGCTTCCCAGGCATAAAAGAGCGCACCTCAGAGCTGAAGCACCGACCCCAGGACATTGGATGCTGCTGTGAACTGCACCCCTCCTCTCTGCACTGCAGAGGGGCTCTAGGGCCTCCCCCCCAGCCCAGCTCACCATGCTCATGGCCTCCACTGTTACAGTTGCTCACCCCGAGTCACCCCCTCGTGGAGAATTAGTAAGACCTGGGCTCGGCCCTGGGCCGGGGCCTGTGTTCCGGTTAGCCTTCAGCCTCGCTGGACCTGGGACCCCCTTGGCTCCCCACCATCTTGGATGTATATTTGTGTCTTTCTTTATCTGTGGGTTGTGCTGGAAGCGGTAGGGTGGAGTTACCTCGCTAGCGTCCAGGAACCTTCCTTTGGGGTTGCAAACACAGACTTCCCGGGCTGCGGCAGCCACAGGTTGCGGAGGGCCGTCCATGGTCCATGCTGGGGCCGCAGGGCTGCAGGCGAGTGCGGCTCTGCTCTGCCTAACAGCCTCGTTTTCAGCCTGCTTTGCTAAAGGCATTTTTTGTGTGTGGCATCAGGAACCTGCATTTCTATTTATTGAATATTTATACTTAGTTTGTGAAGGTGCTGGGGACCCAGCCCAGGACCTCGTGCTTGCTGGACAAGCACTGACCACTGGTCTACACTTCCAGCCTTTACATTCTGTGTTTTTTGTTTTGTTTTGAGCCAGTTTTGCTCTGCAGTTCATGCTGGCCTTGAACTTGCAGGAACCCTCCTACCTCAGCCTCCCAATTCCTGGACGGCGGGCAGGAGTCACCATGCCCAGTTCACATTCTGTTTTTAACTCACTCATAATAGTCGGGTGTGTGTATGAGGCACACTGTGACCTTTCTGTGCACACCTGCCCTGTGTACCCGGCACCCCGGGCGTTTGGGAGTCTCAAAGCCCTCTCTACTGTTTGGAGACACAGTTACTCGCAGTCAGTTTATTCTCTGGGGCCGCAGCACCCTGGGAGTTGTTAGTGCTGTCCAGCTGCTGCCTGTCCTCACCTTCAAGGGCCTTAGGTCCCAGCCTCTGGGGTGGTGTGGGAGCCCGTGCTGACCATTCTGGAGCCAGCTGTGGACAACTGGCCGAGGAAACCCAGTGCCACCACGGCCTCCCTCAGCCTTCAGAGAGGCGGCCCTGTGCTGTGCCCCACTTCTTCCTGGAGCTCTGTTCCCCCCCCCCCCGTGGTTTCCTTAATCAGGCTGAGCCCCACGCCCCTGCTTCTTGATTCCCCAGTCCCCGGCGTGCACACGCTCAGGCCTCAGGCCACCTCGGCCCCACCGCCCTCCTGGTTGGCCTCCACCGAAGGCCGCTTCTCTCTCCGTGTGGCCTTTGGTCTTCCTCCTCCGGCTCTTCTCGGGGTTGGTTAGGGTTGGTTAGGCGTCTGCTCCGCGTCCCTGTGGGGCGGCACGGGACAGGTCTGAGTTCTGAGCACCACAGTCACTTCCTGGCAGGGACAGCTGGGTGTGCTGGGGTTTGCAGGTCCAGCAGGGAGTGGCGTCATGAGGTGGGTACAGCCTTGTGGAGAGAAAGAGATGCCGTCCTGAGCCCTTCCCACTGTGTCTGTTCAGGTATAAACCCGCGCGTGAAGTCGGGGCGCTTCCTGAGAATCCTCCCTGACTACGAGCACATGGAGTACAGGGACGTGTACACCTGCCGTACGTACCCGCTGCTTTGGCTCCGGGTGGCACGGCTGCGGGTGCATGGGGGCCTGGGCCTCGCTCACTGACTGACGCTTCCACGCCACGGCAGCTGGCCTCGGGGCCCTTGCTGCCCTTCCTGTGCTGCAGTGTGGCTTGCCGTGTGTGGTGACAGTGACTGCCCCGAGGGCAGCCCCGGCAGCCAGCCGGGCAGGCCGGGTTTCCACAGCAGCTCTGAGGTCTTGGGCAGCACTAGTGGTGGCCACGCCCCTGTCCCTTACCGAGGATGTTCCTGGGGAAGGTCAGCAGGCTGGAGAGCAGAGGATGGGAGCCTGAACCCTTTCTGCTGCACACTGGAAGGTGAACTTCTGAGCACATGGGTTTACAGAGAGGTCCTGTCCGTGACTGGCCCTGAGACCGCAGTCCTCTTCTGGTTGAGCTGTAGTATAGGAAATTAGGGTCCTCTCCACCGCTCGTTAGTTCAGTTAGGGGATGGAGAGGTGAGCTGTGGGTGTCGAGGAGGACACGGACAATGCCCAGCTTGCATGAATAGCTGATCGTGGTTTCCATCAGCACACGTGCCTGCCTGCTGGACCCTGCCCACCTAGTGCCCACCATTGGCCATGTTGTCTGGAGCAGGTGCCCTGCTGAGCTTTGGAGACGCCCAGTTTCCTAGCTGGCCATGGCGGCCCACACTTGGAATCTGAGGAGGCTGAGGCAGGAGGGTGGCAGGTTTGACAGGCTGTGGGCAGTTTGAAGGTTGATTGCTACTTTACACACCTGGGAGGAAATAATTTGTCCAGAACTTTCTGGCCCAGCCCACCTGGCCCTCCCTGCTCAGTGCTAAGCCGCTTCCCCCAGTCCTGTGGAAGAGGCCAGGTTGGTGTGAGGGGACCTGAGAGCTGATTGATCCTGCTGTGCTGTGGGCAATGGCCTGGCCTGGGCCGAGAGGTCCAGACAGACAAGCAGTGACCCACCTTCTGTGTGCCCCCTCTGCCTCCAGATGGATGGACGGTTGCTGGTTCCCTTGCGCCCCGCCTCTGTGGAGCTGAAGCGGAATTTTAGCCCATCGCTGGGAGGCCTGGCCACCAGCACCAGGAAGCCCCTGAGTTTGCTGGGCGCATTCTTGTCGCCAAGAATAAGGGACGGGTGGCCGGGCCTTGATGCAGTGCACGAGGGGCTGCCTGCCTGTGGGCTCTCATTGCATTAGCCCCTGGGCATCATATACATGACACGCTGGCTGCCTGGAGACCTGCCGGGACCCGTGGCTCTGGTGCATTATCAGAACACAGTGCAGGACACTTGGGAGAAGGTCTCAGGAATCCCCGGGGGGCTCCATTTCTCTGGACGTAACCAGCTGGGACTGGCCTCCTAGAATATCAGGACCATCTTTGTGGTGTGAGAAAGAGCAGGGCAGCCCCACTGAGACCCAGCTTGCTCCCCGGGACAGTGCCCCTCCGGCCAAGCGTGAGTGTCCCACCTCTGTGAGCAGGGCCGGGAGCCCGGGTCGCCCACCGCTCTCGTGTCTCCCGTGGCTGAGCTGGTGGCTGTTGTCCTGGTGATGGCTTTGATAGGGTGAGGGAGCTCCATGGAGAAGTGGGCTGTCCATGCAGTGACCATCTTATGTGTGTGTACAGTGTCTGCAAAAGCCCAAACTTGGAAATCCCTGGTCTTATGGATGGCACCAGTCTCGAGGGCCCCACCACGGGCTCCATGCCTGGGGTGAGGAGCGGCGGGTCGGGGAGCACAGACAGAGGCTCCTGAGCGGGTGCTCCTGAGCGGGTGCTGGGGTGGGCAGGGCCTCCGCTGGGTCCTGGGGTATCTAAGGTTTCACATCATGTGCCGAGTCACTGGTGGACACCCCGTTCCTTGCAGTCCCACTTGAGCAAAGTGGGAGCCACCCATGGGTGACCTTGGTTGTTGACTGTCGTGGACACACAGACTGGGTTCCACCCAGTGAATGCTTTTGCCAACCTGCTGAAGCGTCTTACAGGCTTACCCAGGTACTGTGTCAGACAGGAGCGAGTGGCAGCCTGGGGCCAGTGTCCTGCTGGCTCTGGTTGGGAGTCCCTGGGGCTGGTTTAAAGGTGGTGCCATCTCGGGAGCCGGGATGGTTTTCCGAACACAGCCCTGCAGTCGTGGTGGTGAGCTAGGTGCCTGCAGGCCAGCTGTTGGGACTGCTCATTGCCACCTTTGGGAACAGTGCCAGGCACCTTGGGAGGCAGCACGCGGGTCCCCTCTGTAGGTGTGCGGCGGGGCTGCAGGGTCCCCCTTCTCGGCTCACTCTTCCTCTCCGAGTGGAGGGGAAGGAGGCAGGTGTCCTGCAGTTTAGTGTCCCCGTGTTTCATTGGTAAATGGCTACAGAGTGCTGCTGTGGTCTTCTTTGTCCTCAGCCACAAACTCCTCTCCCTGCGGTAGTGGGGGGAAGTCTGCCCTCTGGGGAGCCCGCCTGTGGGACCCGGGACATCGGTCCAGCCAGATTCCTGGATTCGGATTGGGACAGCGTTGGCTTCCGAGGGCTCCTTCCTGCTATGCCCGATATTCCTAAAGCAGGCTTCGCACCGGGCACCGTGCGGGCCGGGCAGCTGGGCCCCGGGGTCAGCGTGCTCCCCGCCTCCAGCACTGCACTGTCTGGGTCCTGCCAGCGGCCTGGGGAGGGGCCCGATTCTCAGCGCCTGTGTGGCCGCGACCGGCCTGGCAGCCAGGTGTCTTGGGGCTTGTTCTGAGGCTGAGGTTTTAGTTTTCATGCTGCTTTCCAGCTGAACAGGGACTCTGGTTTTGGGATCAGCAGGAGGGACTGCTGCACCCTTTTCGCCGGCTTCCTAGCGGCCTGACGTCACGATGAGTTCTGCGAAGAACCAGGCGTTGGCGGCCGTGAGGTTGAGAGGCTGGAGGCGGAGGAGAGCCGCGCGGTCTGGTGTTGCTTAGTGTTCGGTGTTGTGTGAAGCCGTACAGGGAAGCTGGAGGAATCTCGCTGTGAACACCCGCTTCCCCGGGTTCTACTGCGGGCACTCTGCCGCACTTCTTGTCATGTGGACGTCTGTCTGTCCGTCTGTCCCACTGCCCGCTGTCCATCCCTCTGTTGACTCAGTTCTGGTGTGTTTCACCCTGGCCGCTTCTGCGAGCACTTCACTGACTCGGTTCGGCGCTGGTGTCTGGCTCGGGAGCCTGCATGCCCGCTCGGCACAGCTGCACACCCCTCGGGCTGGGAGGGAAGGCGACCGCCTTCGCCTTTCATAAATGGATCTCAGGGGTAACCCCGCCCCGTGTGCATTGAGTGGAACCCTCCTGAGTGATGGCGCTGGGCTGGGCCTGGGGATGGTGGGGCCTCTCCCCCAGTTGAGTGCACCCCCAAAGGCTGGGCTCTTTCCCTTCCCACCCCCAGCCAAGGCAGTGACCTTCTGGCTCCTGCCTGTCCTGGGCCCTTCTTGGCCTGCCAAGCGGCCCTCCCCTCCTGCCCTCTGTTGCAGCCAGTGTCTGAAAGCACCTGTGGCTTCAAAGTTTATGGAGACCTCAGCCCTGCAGCCCTGCAGCCCTGCAGCGAGCAGTCAAGCTCCCGGCGAGCACTGTCCCCTGGGGCTGTGGCCTTGCGCCCGCTCACTCCTGCACTCATCCCAGGGTTCACGGGCAGGACACCCAGCACCCTGCAGGGTGATTCACATCACCTTCCCTTCCCCGCAGCAGTGCTCTTGGGGTTAGGGTTCGGGCCGAAGCCGGCACCTGCCTCTCTCGCGGGCTCCTCCCGTGCCCTCGATGGGTCTAAGGAGGTGCTTGGCCCATCTCCCCACAGTGCTTCACCGATACCGACACATCTTGGGATTGTGGCAGCCAGACATCGGGCCGTACGGAGGGCTCCTGAACGTGGTGGTGAGTCGGGGGACCTCCCTGCCCTGCGCTCGTTACGCAGGGCACAACTCTCGATTCCTGCGTGACAGCAGAGAGTTCAGGTGACTTTCCAGTGGCCAGGCTTGGTTTGTACACTCCTCCTCAGCCCTCACCCTGTGTCCCCAGGCCCTGTGAGGCAGGAACAGGCAGTTTGGGGGCCTCACACCTGGCCTCCCTGGGACTCCAGCCGTCACATTCACGCCCGTGGGACCTGTGCTCCAGCTGCTGTCGGCTGTGGCTCTAGCTTGGGGTCAGCGAGCTGAGGGAGGTGGGCGGAGGGTGACGTGTGGCCTTTGCTGTGCTCCCACAGGTAGATGGCCTGTTCATCATTGGCTGGATGTACCTGCCACCCCACGACCCTCACGTGGATGACCCCATGCGATTCAAGCCTTTGTTTCGAATCCACCTGATGGAGAGGAAGTCGGCCACCGTGGAGTGCATGTACGGCCACAAGGGGCCCCACAATGGCCACATCCAGGTGGGTCCCGAGACACCAACCGGGTGTGCAGGGGAGGGGTGGCTCCTGGCCGCCACAGTCCCTTGCTGTCCCGGGCAGGGCTTGTGCAGCTGCTGGGAGGTGTGTGGGCTGTCCGCGGATGCCTGGGGGCGGTTCTGCGCACCCCACAGAGACAGACGGGGACAGATGGGGAGGGACCACGACTAACCTGCTGCTCCTCCTCGGCCTTTTCCTCCCACGGTGACACCGAAGATAGTGAAGAAGGACGAGTTCTCCACCAAATGCAACCAGACCGACCACCACAGGATGTCAGGCGGGCGGCAGGAGGTGAGGCCCCGGTGGGGAGGGCGCAGGGTGGATGCGGGAGGGGGGCGCGGAGGTCCCCACCGCCACCGTGTGACCAGCAAGCACCACTCCTGCATTGTGCAGCCCAGTTCATCCTGTCTCTGCAGATGACACACCCCACAGACCTGCAGACCCGCGTCCTGGGGGACATGCACTCCGGGAGGTCTCTCTGTTTACCCAGCTCTGCTCTGTCCCCATGTGTGGGGTGCATCCGTCCCCCAGGGGCAGCGCTGGCTGCTTCCAAGTGAGGTGTAGGGAGGCCGAGTCCAGGGTCCCCTGTTCTCCCCGCCTCAGTGGACCTTGTGGTCCAGGTTTCTAGGTTGCAGCCGTGCAGTGGAAGCCCAGGTGCTGAGCTTCCTGCAGTGGAAGGAACACTAGGCTGCTTTGTGTTTCAGAATTTAGAGGCTGTGAGTCAGCCTGCCTTTCCCAGCTGTTCAGGGAAAACCCGAACTTGGTGGGTAGAGGCTCACGGTAGCCTGCCTTTCTCACGCTTCTTAGCCAGTAGCTGGGGCTTCTCCTTCAGCCACAGAGCTCAGCGGGAGCTGAGATAAACAGTAGCAGTGCGTGTGCTTCATGGGGTCCTTTGAAGCTAAATGCAGCCCCGGTTTCCTGAGTAGATGGCAGGTGAAGGTGGTCAGGAGCGGGGGTGGTTTCATTGGTAACGTTGTGAGTTTAACTGTGGCTTTATATAGCCGTGTGTAACAGCATATCCATAATTGATGAAATTCACATTTAAATATAAAATGTAAACAAGAAACTCCTCAGCTGTTGAGACGTAAGCTATTTTGTGTTTCTGGTAATGTTGACTGTAGGGTGGGAACAAGTTTTTGTAGGCCAGGCGTGGTAGTAAAGGCTGGCGATCCCAGCTACCCGGGAGCCTGAGGCAGGAGGATCACAAGTTAGAGCCCAGCTTGGGCAACTTTGTGGGACCTTACCTCGAAAAGACAAAATAGAACCCCGCTACAGACGCCGCCTAGCTTTTTGTTCATGGGTGCCCTCGAAGGCAGAGCCGTCATCTTCTGCCCTGGGCCCTGCCCGAGCAGCCCCTTGGGCAGACTGAGCCTTTGGAGGGCCGGGACCTGCAGGGAAGGGCAGACGGGGAGGCTCAGTCACTGTCCCTGCTGAGACGCAGTGCCCAGCACCCGTGATTTAGAGGAGGAGGGTTCGTTTTGGGTCTGTCTGTAGAGATTTTAGTCCATAGTGAGCTGGCTGCGTGGCAGAGGGGCCTGGTGGAGGGAGAGTGCTCACATCATGGTGGGCAGGAAGTGGAGGGCCAAGAGGAGCCAGAGAGGGAGAGAAACACTTTCGGGTCTCGTGACCTCGTGACCACCTCTTCTGACCAGAGCTCACTTTGTGAGGGCAGTAGCACCCCAGGTGCTATAGCACCCCACGATCCAGTCACCTTCCGAGGACCCTCTGTGAGCACATGAGGCTCGGGGTAGTCTGCTCCTGAGCCTAAGGTGGGGGCGGAAGGAGAGGGCAGGGGCCAGGTGCCCCCCACCTCACCGTCTCCTGGGGCCCTGGGAAGAGGAGGTGAGGTGAGGTGAGGGTCACTGAGTGCTGCACAGGGGGCGGCCCTGCGCGCGTGAGAATTACCCCTGCCGAAGGGGCGGGCACGTGTCCTCCCAGCACTCGAGGGCTGAGGCAGAAGGCTGACACGTTTAATTCCAGCCCGGGCAGTTTAGCAACTTAGTGGGTCCTTGTCGCAAAGAGTGAGAAAAGCGGGCTGAGATAGAGCTCAGTGGCACAGCGCTGCCTGGCAAGTGTGCGGTTGTGAGTTCGATCCTGGGTGAAGACCCTGGCTTCGGTCACTAGTGGAGAAGTAAAGTTACTCTGCCCTGTGCGTCCAGGCTCTAGATGTCTCCTCCCCACCTTTCATGAGACTGGGTCTCTCTGTGTATCCCAGCTGGGCTCCAGCTCACAGCCGTCCTCCTGCCTCAGCCTCTTGAGTGCTGGGATCACAGGCACTGAAGGGAAGATTGGACCCCGATGGTCTGCTTGGCCACCCCTGTTGGCCTGTGGTGGTTTTCTGTGCTCTGGAAGGTTCTGCCCCAGTTGGCTGGGGGGTCTCCCCTGGAAGCAGAGGCTGGCGGCCTCCCAGACCTGCTGTCTTGGTCTGCTTGGGGTGAGGGCAGGAGTCTCGGGCAGCGTCCTCCTCTCATGTGGCGCCTGGTTGGCTGAGCGTCGCTGGTGAAGACTTTGCCAGCCTCCCGGATGCCGTGAGTGCAGTAGCTGCCCTCGGCCACACCCTTCCTCCGTGATGCTCCAGCCTGGAGTCTGCTGACCATGGCCTGAAGCCTTTGAAACCACAAGCCGGGTCCCCCTCTTCCTTCAGTCCTGTGTGCCCGTCCCTTTGTCCCAGTGACAGAAAGCAGACCGACACAGCAATCGGGCGGCGGTGAGGTCTCTGCCTGTCCTTCTTCCATGACATCACTGCTCATCAGTGATGAGCATGCGGGAGAGGGAAGTGCTCGCACCGGGCAGCCAGCGGGCCCTAGGCCCTGAGGCCTGGCCCTGTCCTTTGGCCCCGGAGCCGCCCCCCCTGCCTGCGGCACTGCCCTGCGACTGTCAGAGCAGAAGTCCTGCTGTTCAGCACACTCTATGTCTCTTGTTGCCTAAGCCTTTGGGATGCAGTAAAGAGCATCTTTAAAGATTCCATCTCCCCGGTTTGTGCTGCCGGTGCGTGATGCCTGCCCTGTGGCCCCGGAGACCTCTGCTGTCTCCTGAGTGGGGCGGCAATGCTTTGAATGGCCAGCAGCGTGGTTTGGTTCTTTCTCCTTGTAAACAGATTTGGCCTCCATTTGCAGAGCTCGTGCCGGAGAGTCAGAACCATCACACCGCGTCAGGCACACAGAGGTTCAGACAGACAGGGTGCATCCTGCAGAGCCAAGTCACTGGACACCAGGCTTGCTGACCACACATGCACTGCAGCCCTGGGGCCCAGGAGAGCAGGCCATGAGGCTGCAGAGCACCTGGCAGCAGCAGGCCACGGCCTCTGCAGACTGGCAGGCAGGGCTTCCTGGCGGTTGGCACCATGCAGGGGGTCCCCTGGTGACTGTGCCCACTTCTCTCTGCAGGAGTTCCGGACGTGGCTGAGGGAGGAGTGGGGCCGCACGCTGGAGGACATTTTCCACGAGCACATGCAGGAGCTCATCCTGATGAAGTTCATCTACACCAGTCAGTACGAGTGAGTGCGGGCACCTGCCGCCCTGTCCTCCCCTGTGCCCCTCCATAGGGCCATAGCCAGTGGGATGTTTCCTTCCCCACTGCTGGTGGGGCGGCCTCCTCCAGCAATGCAGGGTGCTGGGGCAGAGGGCTGAGTGTCCAGGCAGGCACCCCCACCCCCAGGACCCTGGATGCCTGCTGGGCCGAGTTGAGCCTCATGCCTTCTGCCTGCTCCCCGCAGCAACTGTCTGACCTACCGCCGGATCTACCTCCCGCCTAGCCACCCCGACGACCTCATCAAGCCTGGCCTCTTCAAGGGCACCTATGGCAGCCACGGCCTGGAGATCGTGATGCTCAGCTTCCACGGCCACCATGCCAGGGGCACCAAGATCACGGTGAGCCCTCCCGTGGTGGCTGCCATCTTGGGCGCCGTGCATGCAGCCTCTGACTGGGCCGTCACTGGACTTGGCACTGAGGGGTCACTGTGGCCCACAGCTCTGCCAGGGAGCTTGGAAATTTTGGCTGCCACACACCCTACAGCCCTGGTGGCCCAGAACCTGCCCTCCACACAGTTTGTCAGTCTGGCCACCCTGCAGGGCCCACGGTCAGCTGTGGACATGTGGGTGTCCCCACCCAAGCTCCTCCCCTCGGATGCCTGGAGCACAGTCTTCTGTCAGCCTGGGAGTGGTTCCAGGTGACATGTGTGCACGTGTGGTGGCTGTGTGCTGGCAGACAGCCTGCCGCTGTGGTGGCTGTGGCAGCTGGAGAGAAGCTGTCTGCACTGGCTGAGCTGTGAGCTCAGAGGTCGCCTGCTCACCTGGCCCCAGGAGGCCGCTCTGCATGGCCGATCACTGGGGTGTGGTCACGCCACGCTGGCTGTGACCTCATAGTTGCTAGGCTGGTTTCTGGCAGGCAGTGTCCCCGTGTCCTGGGGGAGCGCCTGGTGCAGCGGTGGGAACAGCATAGGCTGTTCTATCATGCAAAGCTGAGAGGTTTGTCGTTGCCATCCAGGTGGAACGGGCTGGAGCCGGGCCGTGCTCCCGCCCAGCCATCCGGGTTGGCTTCCTGTCCCCATGGAGCTGCAGGACCTGGGTACCCAGGGTTAATACAGGAGCTGCACTTTCCAAGCACGCAGTCCTGGTGCCCTGTGGTCTGCCACCCTGCTGCCGGGCCTCAGAGGTCCCCGCCTCACAGACAGGCCTGCTTCCGCCTGAGGGTTTGAGCACAGGTGGGCACAGCTGTGGCTGTGTGTGTCGCACCTGCGTGCCCAGCAGGCTGCCCGGTCACTGTTGGTGTCACTCACTGGTGCTGCCGTTTCATCTCCCCAGACCCAGATGGGCCCCCTCTGGGTGCAATGTGAGGGCGTCTGAAGCCTGAATGTGGGCACTGGTGCATGTCAGTGGCGGAGCCAGAGGTGCCCATGGGCCCGGGGCTCCTTCGGCCTGGAGGCTGTGTAGTATTTCTGGAGGTCTGAATGCCGCTGATGGTTGCCCTGCTGCTCTGCAGGGTGACCCCAACATCCCCGCCGGGCAGCAGACGGTGGAGATTGACCTGAGGTACCGCATCCAGCTGCCTGACGTCGAGAATCTCCGCAACTTTAACGAGCTGTCGAGGATTGTCCTGGAGGTCGGCGAGCAGGTGCGGCAGGAGCAGCAGCAGGAGGCCGGCGAGGGCCCTTCCCAGGCCCAGGACCCGCCACCCAGGGAGGCCGACACGGTGCCCGCCGAGGGCAGCGGGAAACCTGCAGACGGAGAGGCTGCAGCTGAGCAGCCGGCCCAGTCTGGCAAGGGGCAGCCGTTCGTGCTGCCCATGGGCGTGAGCTCCAGGAACGAGGACTATCCCCGCACCTGCCGGCTGTGGTGAGCACCAGGGGTGGGGCTTCAGCCATGTGGCCCGAGCGCCCAGCCCGAGAGGGGCTCCGCTCCCTGGCGTCCGTCACAGCTGGCTCATAGCAGGGCTCCTCCAGGTGCCTCCCGGAGCATGAGCAGGGTCACTCCACTGATGGCTTCTGGGGGACTCGGTGGCCTAGGACAGGCGAGCTCAAGTGTCCCCAGCGTAGGTGAGGGACAGGTCTCTCCCCAGGGAGCCCTGCCTGCAGCTTGCCCGGGAGCTCTTTGAGGCTGCTGTCTGCTACTGCTCATGCAGCCCAGTCGTGGCCGTGGCGCCCCCGTGGCCTCTCCTCTCTTCCACCCATTCTGCTCTCCTTCCCTGCCCCCGCAGGTGCTCTGGCCCTCCCTGCAGGCCCAGGCGGGGTTGATGACCTGGCAGAGTCCGTGAGGTCCCGGCTCCCCTCCCTCGACTTGGCTCTTCTGCCTCGGGCCCTGCACTCTGGGGCTGTTTTAAAGTTAACGCAGGGCTGGGGCTGGAGCTCAGCAACACGGCGCCTGCCTTGCAAGCACGAGCCCCGGGGCTCAATTCTTACTGCCAAAAAACTCCAACAAATAGGGCCAGGAATTTAGCTCCTGCCTGGCAGGTGTGAGGTCGTGAGTTCAGTTCCTGGTAACCACCCCCCCCCCAAAAAAAAAAACACCAACAAATACAGTAAGAGAGCTACAGTTAACAGAAGTGGGGTGGAACGGGAAATCCAGCTCCTCGGTGCTGCTGCCCACGCCTCAGTGCTGACCGGCTGCCCCGTCTGGTGCTGCCGTATTGGACAGTGTGCACCACAGCACTGGGCGCCATGGGCCCTGTCCGTCTCCTGCTGTCACAGGTACCTGGCCTCCGCCTTTGTCAGCTGTCACTTTCCCTTGGCTTCTGGACGGCTGCTGTCTCAGGCCAGCAGCAGTCGGCGGGGCATTTCCCAGGAAAGCCACTGTTCAGGGTGACCTTTTCCCATGTGGAGCTCCCAGCGGGGATCTGGGCAACTGGATAGGGCTTCGTTGAGGGAAAATCGCTTTCTGTGTGCTGTGCAAGCAGGACAGGGCTGACCTGGGTTGCTGTAGAGGGAGGCCCATAAACTTTAGCGTTGAGTGCGGTTCGATGGTTGAAAACTCTTGTTCGACTGTTAAGGAAAAGGGCTCTGTTATTTCTGTAAACATCTCACAGCTCCCAGGACCCCGCGGCCAGCAGAGCTCACTGCGGGCCCTACGCATGCTGTGGCCGCCTGGGTGCGCCGCCTCTCTGTTGGAGTACAGGACGCTCTCCAGCCTGTGAGATGCACCTGGTCCCTTTGGCTGCTCTGCAACCTTGCGGGGATACTGCTGGCCTCTTCTGTGTGCCAGTGGCCACTGCTTCTCCCCCAGCTAAGAAGCCTCTGAACCGCAGGGCTGCATGCCCGTCCCCTTCCCTGTGGAGCCTCCATGGGCACCATTGGGCCAACACTGACCTCTCTGTGGCCAGAGCTTCGAGGTTTTTGCAAGCTGTATTTTATTCTATTATTATTAGTTTTTTTGGTCTTTTGTTTTTTTATTGGTACCAGGGATCGAACTCACGAGCACACACTTGCAAGGCAGGCGCTTATGCCACTGAGCTAAATCCCCAGCTCCGCAAGCTGTATTTTAAACTAACACTGGTCTCAGAGCCATCAGTGTCTGTACGTGGCCGCTGCATGTGCTGTCTCTCATGTATCTTTGTTAGTGCGGGATATAACGATTCCCGAAACTTTAAGATGAGAGTTTCCATGGCCTGGTGTGTTCCTGTCATGGAATTTCTGTGTGTCCACCCAGGGCTCCTACTGCAGCCAGGGAAGGTGGGGGACGTGGTGGTCAGCAAGGGCCCAGATCTGGGCAAACCCTGGGCTCCAGACCACGAGCTCCAGCCCTAAGCAGCCCAAGCATCCAGTGCACTGGCTATGCTGGCCCTCGGCGATGGACACGCAGGCCTCCAGCTGCCCCCGCAGAGACAGGCCTCTTGACGCCGCTGGCCTGCGCCTGGCGCACTGCTAGGGCCCACCTGGCGAGGAGGGTGTGCTGGCACGCTCTGAGGGCCCTGCCCGTGCCCGGGGCCCCCTCCCTCACGCTGTGGCTCTTGCCTCCGCAGCTTCTACGGCACAGGCCTCATTGCTGGCCACGGCTTCACCAGCCCCGAGCGCACCCCTGGCGTCTTCGTCCTGTTCGACGAGGACCGCTTTGGCTTCATCTGGCTGGAGCTGAAGTCCTTCAGCCTGTACAGCCGCGTCCGGGCCGCCTTCCGGAACGCCGATGCGCCCTCGCCCCAGGCCTTCGAGGAGATGCTCAAGAACATCCAGTCCCTCACGTCCTGACCGCCCTGCCCCTGCGGGCCGGCCTGGTGCGCCCCGCGTCGTGCCGGAAGCAGCATGCACTTGGACACGCGGCCTTTCACCAGGACGTGCGCTTTCTCGTTGGACTCCGGCCGGCCCGAGACACTTTATGTATAGCGTGTAACATATCCTGTACATTGTTGGTAGTCGTGAAGGGGACGCTGAGCATGTGAGGACAGAGAAGGGAAGAGTGAGCGAGCAGAGTGAGCCTGACCCCGAGGAGTGGCTGTGGCACGCAGGGACAGACTGGGGGCCAGGTCCCTGGCGAGTGTCTTCGAGGCAAAACAGGACCCCCCTTTGGGGTTACGGCGCAGCAGCCGGGCATGTTCCCCTGAGCAGATGCAGTGCAGGGTCCGGGAGGTGGCGAGGAGACATCCCGCTGGCACCCACATGGGTGAGGGGAGGACGGTGTGCCTGGAGCCACCCGGGTTGGGGCCAGGCCTCAGGTAGGGTTCCCAGTCTCTGCTGGCCCGCCAGGCGTTAGGGCCCAGGCATTTCACTCCGGTCCTTTCCCCGTTGGTGAAATTGGGCTAGCCCTGCAGGTCCCGGGACCGTCAGTGTAGACATCCGCAGCATCTGTACCATTCCCTGGCAGCCGTGTCTACACTGCTTCTGCATCTGCTTCCGAGGCTCCTCTGACGCCCGGCTGTCCCGGCTCCAGGCTGGGTGTTGTTCTGCGCCCATGCCCCACGCTCCCCCTTCTGCGCCCGCTCTGCACCCAGTGGCCTGGCACTTGCGGGTGTCCAGTCTGCAGGGCACAGGGCTGTCCCCACGCTTTGCTGTCATTGCGTGGCACACACAGGCTGAACAGGTGCACTTCAGAGCCATTTGCAGGTGGGAGCGTGGCCTTCCAGCCCTTCTGGAGGCCGGGACCCTGCGGCACGGAGGCCTGAGAGCCACTGTGGCCCTGCTTGTTGGCGCCTGCATTTGTAGACCCCCATCCACGGCCTGGCTGACACTGGTGTCTCTGGAAGGACAGGGCCCCTTGGACTCTGTCACACTTCCTGCCCTGTGGCTCGTGCAGCCCTGGGTGGGCTCCCGGTGTGCACCTTCCCTCTCATGGCTGGCCCCTCATGGCTGCTCTGAACCGTCCTCCAGGCGCTCAGGACTTACTCTGCTGCTGAGAGATACCCTGGCAGTCATGTGGTGCCTTTGCCTAGAGATCCACCGGGGACACCCCATGAAACATTTTCCTAATTAATTTTTCCCCAACTGGCCTTAAACTTCCACGGTCCTACCTTCCACTCACCGGCAGCACCTCACTTTGCTCCCGAGTGCAGAGCTGAGCAGCTCTTGCGAGGTCCCCATGTGACGCTGCCCCTGGAGGATCTGACGGGATGCAGGTCGAGAGGCCGAGAGGCAGGCAGAGCAGGCAGGCGTCCTCCTGGGCAGGGCAGCGCCCCTGACCTGTGAAGTGAGACACCCCGGGTGCTTCTGCCCCAGTCTAGCGTTTTTTGCAGGACTGAGCCTGACGTCTGTGTCACTTCCTTGCCAGAAGAGGCAGCCCAAGAACGGAGGACAGTGGAGACCAAGGACGGTTGGGTGCCCTGTAAGTTTCACCACTGTTGATAGGAACCCTAGAGAAAGCATTTTTTACTCAGAGCCGCGGCTTGCTCTGAGGGACCCTTCTGCTCGGAGGAATCCCTTTAGCGCTGTAAAGAGCACAGTGATTGAAGAGACGTAATTATTAAAAAAAAGCCTCAAATCTAAACGGTGTAGCCTGCTTCTAGTTTATTTAAATGGTTTCTACTGATAGTTTCCAAAGTAACCAAGGCTCTGAGGAGCCCATGGCAGGGTGGGTCGTCCCACCATTTGTGAGACCTGGATACTGCATGTGGGGCCTGCAGCCTGGAAGGAGAGGTCTGGTTGGCCTGCTGGCCACCAGGATGCTACAGTCGCTCGGAGAACGTGGCTGGTTTTTTCCCATTCTTATGTGTCCCATGTCACATCCTTAAGTTACACAGGGGACAGATTGCACGTGTACTAGCAGCTCCCAGCTCCATTCACTGCAAGTGAGGCTCCAGCATGGTAGATGAAACCGGGCATGGTGGTTCACATCTGTAATTCCAGCACTGTGGGAAACTGAGACAGGAGGATTGCAAATTTGGAGCCCAGCCCATGCGGCTTAGTGACTTAGCCTGACCCTGTCTCAAAAAATGAGAACTGGGATGGAGCTCAGTGTGAAGGCCTGGACTCTGTCTCCGTAATGAAAAATAAAACAGATGGCTGATGCACTGTTGGGTCTCGGGTCCCCCGAGGAGCCTGGCTGTGCAGTTTGGGACCCTGGGGCCCACATGGTGCCTGCCTGGGAAGGTGGCGGGCAGATGCAGGACAGTGCCAGGGCTTTTCCTGTCGCTCGGTGGCAGGTCTGCCCCGGGTTCTGGGCCTTTCTGTAGGGCTCAGGGTGGGCTTTGGGATGCGCATGCTGGCCTAATGACCCCTGACTCGAGCCAGCTGACTGTGCAGCTGGGAACAACTGGAGGCTGACAGGCAGGCTGGGCCGTCACCCGCTGAGTCAGATGACTGGCTGTCATCAGCCAGGAGTGCAGGGCAGCTGTGCTGTGTCCCCACATCCGCTCAGCTGGGCGGGCGGCAGGTGGCCTCATTCCTGGGCGCTGTCCAAAGCCAGTGCCCTCGCCTCTGAGCCAGGCTTCTTTTTCTTTTTTTTTCCGTCTTTTTCCTTTTTATCTGTACCAGGGATCGAACTCACGACTGCCTGCTTGTGAGGCAGGCGCTTATGTTGCTGAGCTAAACCCCCAGCCCCCAGGCTTCTTTTTCATCTCCTGCGTGTCTGTGATGGGGACCACAGCCAAGGCAGTGTGGGGTGCCCGGGGCCGTGCATCCAACCCCCCGAGAGCAGAGGGGCGCTGAGCTGGGGTAATGGCCGGTCACCTGTCACATGCTACCTGGCTGCTCTACCTGGGGTGGTGCAGCTCCCTGTCCCCGAAGGCCCGGATGATTCTGCCAGGTCTGACTCCAGAGTTGCGCACCCCCAGCCTTCCCTTTGTCTCCGCTCCCTGAAGTCTCTTTGTAGTGCGACCTCTAGTGGGGATGCAGGGTCTCTGCACCGGATGTGATCCCAGCCAGCAGTGGGAAAAGGGAGCTGCTGCCCCAGGGCACCTGCTCTGCCCCTCGGTGAGGAGCGATGACTACAAAGTTTGCAGGCTTCACCTTGACCTGGTCTGAAGGTGCAACCTGCACCGAGCATGTCACCCACTGGTCCTAAGGCAGTGTGTCACCTCCAGGCCTCCTGGCAGCCGTGGCCTGGAAGAGCCCCCAGGTCCCAGGCGGTGTCCCAGCTCTCCATCCGGGCCAGGCACCACCAGGGCAGCGTTCGAGTGTTGTCCTCCTGTGACAGCTTGGGAGGTGCAGGTTGGTTAGGATCAGCCCCCTTTTCGGGGGAGGGGGCTCAGAGAGGTTGAGTAAGATAACCCGAGGTCTTGCAGCCAGGAGTTTTGAGGGAGCACTGCTCGGTTCTGATGGAAAATCCATAACCAGGGAAACTGTCCTGGACGTTGTTCCCAGAGTTGATGCAGTGCACACAGAGCCGGCACACAGAGCAGACGCGGAACACCCCACACCCCCAGCTCCACCCCCACCCCCACCTCGGAGCTTCCCTCTTGCAAAGACAGTGGGCTCTGCTGCATGGATTCTCGCAGCCACACTTTCTCAGCGTTGTTTCCAAGAATATCCTTCCCGATGAAGCCCCCTGCCCCTACACTGTGAAGTTTTGGCACCATGGACACACGGTTCACTTCCTGTCTGTACACCTGTGCTTTGTGCTGCAAAACAGCAGGCTTTGTGTTACCCCCCCCCACGAGGCAGCGCTTGCCCCATGGTGTGGGGGTCCCTCACGCATGGGCCGAGGGCCTTCCCTCCGCCGCTGGCCGGTCCTCCACAGTGTGCACCACCAGTTTGCTTATCCATCTCTCGGCAGTGGGCACCAGCTTCTTCTGTGGGATGTTTTACGGGCCAAGTCCCTGTCAATCTGTGCTCGTTAGTTTCCTCTCACTGCTGAGACAGAACACCCAACACCCGAGGTAAAGGGGCAAAGGGGTATTTGGCTCACAGTTTGTGGAGGTTTCGGTCCACAGTCGGCCAGCTGCGAGGCAGGGTGACTTGGCAGAGGGACACTGCAGAGAACGGTTCATGGTGATCACAAGGATGCAAAAGCAACAAGTGAGACAGACGAGACTCCGTGCTCCTTCTGCTGTATGCAGGCTGCCTGCCCTGGCATGAGAGCAGGACTCGCACCCTTAACCTTGGGCAAATACCTGACCAGTCAGCAGACTGACCTGCTCACCACACAACCTTAATCCCAGCGTCAAACACTTCGGTGTGGCCACCTCTGAAAAGCCCACCCTGGGACGTGTGAGGCATTGAGGGGACATCTAGACACAGTGTTGACGACACCCACAGGTGGTCTCTGCAGGACTGTGTGGTGAGTGCACGCGCAGGCCCAGCAGAGACTTCTGTGCCAGGGCCCCGTGTCCCCAGTAGCAGTAGAGGAGAATTCCCGCTCCCTCGGTCCTCACCAGCCGTGCTGTCAGCCCCTCGTGTGTGGCAGGGACACACTGGGGGTGACCGCACCTCCTTCCAGGTGCCCACTGCCACTGTGAGTGGCAGTGCGTCTGTCCCTGGTCCCGCCCGCCTGTGGCTCTGCCCTGGAGCCCACCCCGTGGAGTCATCGTGACATCAGTGCTGAGACCCGAGCTCAGGGTCAATGCACCCTGCGGTGGATGACCCTCCTGAAGCCACTGCTGTGCATGACTTGGGTCCCGGGGGCCTGGCACAGAACTAGACCTAATTTCTATCCTCTGCTCAGGCTTCTGGGTCTCTGCTCCCCTTCGAGACTTGGGGGCCTGAGGCGGGGAGGCGGCCTGATTGTCATGGAACTTCTCTCCTCTGTCAGCAGAGTTCCACAGTTCCATGGGCGGCAAGCTCTCCGAGGGCGCCATGGGGACAGGACACACTGTGGGCGGGTGGCTGGGCAGCCTCTTCTCTCAGAGTGCGTCTCAGTGAGTTCAGAGGAAGCGGGTCCTCGGGCTGTCAGTGGGGTGGGGACCCGCAGGCTCTGGAGGTAGCACGCTGTCCTACACCCGGTGGGCTGGTAGCCTGCGCACTTTCCTTAATGCTGTGAGCTCGGAGGAGGTACTGTGTCCCCGGGCAGGCTGCAGGAGGCCAAAGTGAAGGCAGACCAGGGCGGACGTGGGTGTCCTGTGACCATAAGAAGAGAATAAAATGTCACCATCGGCGAGACGGAGAATAAAAGTGAAGATGACATCAGAGACTCCAAGAAGGAAGGGTAAGGGTTTGAGCTGCTGTTGGGGGGACTGGTGGGGGACGCAGCTGACATGGACATGAACCCCCACAGCTCGGGGACACCTGGGATCCCAACTCAGAATGCTCAGAATCCCACGCGGTGAAACCCAAAAACTCTCCACGGGGGGAAATGACATTTAGAAGGTTAGAGTTGCTTAGACCTCATCAACCTGAGTTTTAACTCATCCGTCACCGTCTGTTTCTAGACTCACCATCTTTCCTCATCAGGGTCACGTTAGGCCAGTCTGTCCTGGAGTCATAAACCACAGAGGTCCAGTTCTTCTCTGGCTTAGCCATGTGGGTGTCTGTGTGATGTTTCCGAAGCTGGCCCCGTGCAGACACGTGGGTTTGGCGGGCGGGCTCTGGGCACGGGGCCACATGTGCTCCAGCTGCCTCTGCCTCAGTCCCCCGCTCTGTGCAAGTGGAAGGGTCATTCCGGGTGGCCACTGCGGGCCACCCTGCGGACAGTGTCCTTCCAGAGGGTGGGTCTCTTCCCTGTGCTTGTCTACCCACAGGGCTTTGCGACTGAGCTGGGACCCTGTTTTGGTGCCTGGCACCATGGAGTTGACCCTCTACCCTGCCAGTGTACCCCAACCCAGCAGAGAGGGTCCCCCGCAGCCCTGCCTTGGGGCAGTCTGCACTTGCATTGGGAGGCGGTCTCTTCTGGGGAGCGTCAGATGCTTCCAAAGTCCCAGTCTGAAGCCGGGTGGGGGAGGCGTGTTCTCTTGGCTTTCTCTTTAGCAAAGCTGTTGCCCGCTTCCGTCTCCTTTCCCTGCATCTGTTCAGCTCTTTCCAGAACAGTGAGTTAGCAGTCGCTTTAGCCCTGACTCAGGAGTTGCCAGGTCTCCAGAGGACACTGCTCTTGCCTCTGGGGAACGAGAGCCCCAGCTCTGGGCTCCAGCACCAGCCTGCAGCACACACGGAGGTGCCACAAGGTCTTTTTTTTTTTTTTTTTTTGGTACCAGGGATTGAACTCACAAGCTTGCACTTGCCAGGCAGGTGCTTATGCCACTGAGCTAAATCCCCAGCCCTGACACAAGGTCTTTTAAAAATCTGAATGAGGCTACAGCTCCGCGCAGTAAGAGTGACTTGTCAGACAGGTAGTAGGAGGGGGTCGTCTGGGCTCAGGCTCCTTAGAGCAGACCTCAAGATGAAGATGTGCAAGTAGTTTATTGGACAGGAGCCCTGGAAGACAGGCAAGATGAGGACGGCAGCGGCCAGCACAGAGGTGTCAGGAAGGGCAGCAGTGTGGGCAGCTGGAGTTCAGCCTATGTGGGACACCAGGAGGTACAGGATGCGCCCTGGAGTTACCCTCGGTGGTGCAGACACACCGGAACACTTCTCCACCTTGCCTGTCACTGCCGAGGGCTTCTTCCATCTGCAGTGGGCCAGGTGGCACTGGGCTCTGGGAGCAGCCGTGGGGCAGGGCAGGTGCCCGCCGCCTTGGGTGTGCGGCAGTGCGTGCTAATGGGCCGGGCAGCTCCACAGCGCAGGGTCAGCTTTCGTGCAGGACAGCCAGTAGCCCAAGGGGCTTCTGTGCAGACTCAGGACAGAGTTCCCCTGGGAGGCCAGAGGTGTGTCGTGGCAAGCTGAGCGTAAGGCACAGGCGGGCTCCTCTCACGCTCACAGCCAGGGGCCCTCGGCTGGCGAACAAACTGCACCACTGAGCCCAGCTCCCCTGCCAGGGTGAGAGCACAGCCGTCTGGGGGACAGGGGATACCTGTGACTGTTTCTCTCTGTTCAGAGGCTTGGATCCTGGTGACTCTTGGACTCACACAGCTCTCTGCTCTTCACTGCCCTTACCTGGGGGTTTTAGAAACAGAATACCTGGAAGAGGCATACTTCCTAGCCACAGGCTTCTCTGGGCCTGCTTCTGTCTTCTGAAGCAGTGAGTCGCCCTCATGCTAGATGCAGGGAGCTGAGAGAGAACCAGGACCACCATGCCACTTGCAGGACAGACCGACCCTGCTGCGTCCTCACCTGTCCTGGCTGTCTTAAGCAGTGTCCATGCTGTCTCCTCTGAGCATCTCAAGCTCCCTCGGGGTCTGGGTCTCCAGAGGACACTGCTCCTGCCTCTGGGAGAACAAGAGCCCCTGGGATGTAGAACTGTGGCGGGCACCAGCCCAGCAGGGGTAAGCCTGTGGGTTCTAGACTCAGTGCACAAACCAAAACCAAAACCAAAACCAAAAAATGACCCTGGGATTAGTTCGAGATTGTCACTATTTTACAGACAAATCTGAGGCTCTGAAATCAGGCAGCTGGGCAACCATGAGGCAAGGACGACAGAGTGTCCTTCAGAGCACAGCCCATGGCGCGTGGATTCCCTGTCCGTTTTCAGGGACCGAATACGCGCTCGGGGCCTGGCATCCTTGCTGTACGCTTCATCCATGTTGCCGTGGGCTGCAGCTACACCCTTCCCCAGCAGCGTGCTCCTCTCTGACTATGCCATCCTTTCTTTCTAATCCTTTCTTCAAAGGGTAGACATCTAAGTCATTTCATTTCTAGCTTGGGACTTGTGAAAGTACTCGATATTTTTGTTCATGTGCTAGTGGATTTACACTTTTGTCTTTCGTGAAGCCAGGTGGTTACAGGATTTTCCTATGTTTAGGTTTTGTAAACACTGCCTTTATTAATTTACTGAGCAGTGTACAAGCATTCCAGCTGCCATATCCTTAACAGACTTGGTATTCTCTGTCTTTTAACTTCAGCTATTTTTTTTTTTGAGACAGGGTCTCGCTATGCAGTTTAGGCTGGACTTGAACTCACTTTGTAGCCCAGGTTGGTCTTGAACTCCCAACAATCCTCCTGCCCGTCTCCTAAATGCTGGAATTACAGGTGTGCGCCACCATATCTGGCCTTGACTTTAGCCATTCTTGGATGGGTGGGGATAGTGAGAAAGTGGTCTTTACATCAAACAAGAAGGTGTCTCGGTGGTGAGGACCAGAGCCTCTAGGGACACACGAGTCTGTGTTCTGTGCCCTGCAGTGACGCTGCAGTGGCCTCAGGAGGAAGACGGAGACACAGAGATGCCACATGTACATCCTGACACAGGTGACAGCCTGGACATCAGCAGAAGGGCAGGGGTGCCTCGCACTCAGTGAGCAGGGCAGGAAGCCTGGTTCCCACAGATCCTGACCTCTAGCATTTAAATAAGAGCCAAGAATCATCCAAGTGGTACCCGGACACATCCTCTTGGCTTTCTGACCCGAATACAGTGCACGGAGAGGCTACCCATTGGGTTTAGTTGCTCAACCATTTCCAAGAAGTTCAAGCCGCAATTTGAGATAATTTCCGGAACAAAACCAGGAGCAGCAAGCTCTGAGTTTTGTGTATCACGTCTCCATCCTACGGCTGCCCAAACACACACAGGGGGAGCATGAGACACTAAGGGGCAAAGGAAAAACAGGCTGGAGGCCTCTGGCTTCAGAGAGCACCCAGATTACACAACGCTGAGTCCCACCACCGTTAAACCAGGTTGTTCAAGAAATTACACATTTCCCTGAAGGTCACAAAGCCCTTTACTAGGGGGTGTCAGATTTAGCGCATGAAAATCAATTTCACATATAGAGGCTGACCGAATATAAGCATTTCTGAGATAGCTTAAGGGTTGTTCTTACACTAGGAAACTTGTCAGGCTCTGTAGAGCTTGGTGGCATGTCCGTGTAGTGCCAGCACCCTAGGAGGCTGAGACAGGATGATCCTGAGTTGGAGCCCCGCCTGGGCTCCCAGAGAATAGATTCTGTCTCAAGATAATTTAAAAAAAATTTTTAAGGGGCTGGGAATGTACCTCAATGCAAAAATCTTGGATTTCCCAGTACGAGGGAAAAAAAGACAAGAAAAACTGGTCCACCTGAATGAACTGAGATACCCTCCCTCTCCCAATCCTCCCCTGCCGGGACGGGGCTGCTTCCACGTTTTTCTCTCCTTGCAGGGGACCAACAATCCGGCAGGAACGCCCCGCCGGGGCACAGGCCCGGCAGTCGGAAGTGGTAAGTGAGTCAGGTCCAGGGCGGTGGGCTTCCAGAGCTGACGTCCAGCCCGCAGGTTAGAGAAAGGCCGCTGCGGCACAAGCTGAGCGCTCACCCGCGCGGCTCCTCCACTCACCGCCGAGCCCTACTGCGAGGGACCAATCAGCTGCCAGCTAAGTGCACGTCCATACAAAGCATCACCTGAATGGCTGAGCGCCGGCCAATCAGTGGGACGCACAGGGGCACGCATGAGGCCGAGGTGCAAGCCGGGAAGGCGACTGAAGCCTAGTTTGAGGGTCGCTGCCAGCCTTGGGCGATGGCGCGCGTGCGGGCTCGGCTCCGTTTTCACTGTGGCCCTCGTGATGCAGTTTGCGATGCCCTGAGCCCTTGCGGAGGCGCTCCTGCCGCGTAGCATCGGCTCACACCAAGGCGCTTCGTGACGCGGGGGGCCGCCCCAAGCCTGCGCGGGATGACCCGGGCGCGGAGGGGCCCGGAGTCGCCGGCCCAGCGGCCGCTGAGCCCGCGGAAGCGAGGCTGCTTTTCGTTCTGGGCGCCTGCGGCTGTCAGGAGGCGACCTTCGGGCGGGGATGTGTCGAGGTGCCTAGGGACTCTCCGGTTTCCCGCGTCCTTTCCTTTGTGTTGTCTCTAGTGAGGCAGCGTCGCCATGGTGCCTTGCGGTTTCCTTGACTGTGAAATGAGTCGACTGACTTAACAAAGGACAAGAGTGTCTTCTCCCCGTAACTCAACGGCAGAGTCCCACGGTGGTCTCACGGGCTGGCTTGGGTCACGCCACAGTACTGACACCGTCTCTGAGACCAGCTGGACCTCCTCTTTCCGTCTGGGGGTAGTGGGCTGAGATGAGTGTGGTCCTCTCCCAGAACACAGCAGAGCTGGAGGGTGCTGTACAGGACGACTGCTCCCCATGCCCACCCCAGTCATTCCAGCATCAGCTCAAGGGCAAGGGATGGAGCTCAGTGGCAGAGCACTTGCCTGCCGTACATGAAGCTTTGGGTTCTGTCCCCAGCACTGGGGGAAAAGTCGAAGCTGTTACTTTAAATAAAACTGTAATGAATGCTATACAACGAAACACAAATACCCACACAATACCGTCCTGTTCTGTAGTTTCCAGGCTCCATGTTACAAAGCACTTGGCCTGCTCACCTTAAGAAGCTCAGCTTTACTTTGTGTGGTATTCCTGCTGGGGTTCTGTGGCCAACAGTGTAGCAGTTTGTTGGGAATGGGCATGCCTGACCCAGGCTATGTAGCTCCAAATGCTTTGTTATCCTGGAGACAAAGCACCCAGGTATTTGCACTGGAAGTTTTATTCTGTGGAGTTTGACTACATCCAGTACTTGAGTAAGCTTGGAGGTGTTGGATCAAGTGTCCTTGGTGGGCAGTTGGCAGCTCCACGTCTTGGAAAGTCCTCACCAGATTAGAACTCTCAGGTCTTTCTTGATGGGCCAGGCCCAAGTTTAGCTGGAGTGTGTTGGAGGTAATTGGCTGGGCAATTAGGAGTCTGTAGCAGCCGGTACCTGGGAGCCCAGCTGGGAGCTCCTCAGTGAGCCCTCCTCAGGCTTGTCACCCTCCTCGGACTTGTCACCCTTGGCTCCTCTGGGCCTCAGAGGGATGGCCCTGCCTTTCAGGATTTTGTGCCAGGAGTCAGGTCTAGCAAGGCAGACCCAGCACTCTCCCAGCAGGCTGCCCCCAATATACGCAAACCTCGGAGTGTTTGTAAGTCTCCTGTTCTTTTCTAGGAAGAATACAAGTCAGACCTTCAAGAAAGAAGTGTGCCTCCAAGATCGTCCAGTAAGGAAACGTTCACTTCTTTGTCCCAACTCTTCGGGGCTGGAGTAGTGGAGGCTGTGGGGCCAGAGGTTGTGTCTCATGAAAGGCTCACCAGATACGGAAATGTATGATTGTAGGGGCATCACTGATCCCCCAAAATCTCTATGTAGGGTCAGCTTCTTCCCCTCTGTGCTTAGTGGTACATAGACAAAGGAGAAAAGAGGCCTTCAGTGCAGCACAGGAGGGCTGCAGAAATGCAGGTACCCTCAATGAGACCAAAGAAGTGGGGCTCCTTGAATCAGGTCTGGCTGGGGGAGGAGTTTGAGAGGGGGGCAAAATGACAGCTGATTGGAAGGAGCATCTGCCTGTGCAAAACAGGAGACAGAAAGACTTACTGGGGGCAGTAAAATCTAGAAGTTCTTCTTGGAGAGATAAGTTGCTTCTCTGGGCCCGGTACCAAGTTGGGCGGACGTCATGGTAGACACAGGTAAGCCCCGGGCTGGCACAATCTGTCGCTTAGAACTCCTGAGCCCCGTGGAGTCCCTCTGCGTAGCCCCAGGCATCAGCATCTTCGTCTACCCCTAGAGGGGGTGGCATCCTCAGCAGCAGGAAGCGCGGTGTGAGGAATGAGGAGCCCAGAGCAGTCAGTCCCCCACTTGCCTCCAGAGGCTTCTGACCTCGGCTCTTGGCAAAACGGGAGCTGGGGCTCGTTCCCAGAGGGCAGCAGCACGTGGTCGAGAATCCCAGCACGCCCAGGCTTCGTGGGCCTTGCTGCCGGCCGCATAGTGTGCCTGTGTCTGAGCTGCGGCAGGAGTCGGGCACCTGTTCCTTCTCCTGGACATTCTCCCTCTGGCCACCGACTTAGGATTCTAGATAGTTCCTTGGCTGAGGTCAGAAGTGCCGCAGAATACTTAACCCCGTCTTTTCTGGATCTTGCTTAGTGTTCCAGGTTGGGTCGCTCCCGAGAGCACGTCTGCTGTAAGTGCCGTGCCAGGTTCAGGGGCCGCCTACCTGTGCCCAGGGCTGAGGCAGCACTGCCCTACTGGGTCCCGCTGTCCTTGAGGCCGCGGAAACAGGTAAGTGTCTTGCCAGGGGCCATGAAGGTGGACATCAGAATTATGCCCTATATCAAGGAGAGTTTAGAATTTCTGAGAGACACTGTGTTTTTAAACAGATTCAGAAATATATTTACGGAAGTGGGATTGACGTTGGTAAGCTGTCCGTATGGAAGGGTGGCAGACATTCCTGGGGAAGCCACGGCCCGCCCACCTGATGAGCCTGGGCCCAGCTCTTACTGGTTCTTTGTGCCAGTTTACACTCCCCTGAGCATCTGTTCTCACAGTCCCAGGCAGCACCTTGGCATCCTGAGGAAACCTGCTTTCTGCCACGCGGCTTAGCTAGTGTTTTCAGCATCTTTTGTACAGGGTCGTAGTCTCTCTGTCTGGCTCCTTTCCCTGAGCAGTTATTCTGAGAGTTACCCTGCGGCTGTGTGGCTCACCAGGTCCCTGTTAGTGTCCTGCGACGTGAGCACATGGATGTCTGTCTGTCAGTCCCGAACTCCTGTTTCCCATTTTCATCTGCAGCAGATAAAGCTGCTAGGAACATTTTTGTACCAGTCTTGAAAGGGTGTCTGCCTTTGTTTTCCTCGGGTGATTACCTAGGAGTGGGATTCCCAGTGTGTGTTACCTGTTTGATTTTTTTTGTGTGTGTGTTTTTCGTTTTTAGCGGTACCAGGAATCGAACTCATGACCGCACACTTGCAAGGCAGGCGCTTATGCCGCTGAGCTAAATCCCCAGCCCCTCCTGTTTGATTTTTAAGACACTTCCACTGTTTTCCGAAGTGGTCGCTCCCATCAGTAGTGTGCAAAGGCCCACTTCCTTCACAGCTTCCCCGAGGCTTGCTTTAGTCAGTCTTCTGCGTAATGAAACCCTACTAAAAAAAAACCCCCCAAAACAAGCTTGTTTCACTGGGAGTGGTGGTGCACGGCTGTATCCCAGCAGTCAGGAGGCTGAGGCGGGAGGATTGTCAGGAGCTCGAGCCCAGTCTGCACTACATAGCGAGACCCTTTCTCCAGAACCAAAGTGAATACCGTGGAATTTATCCGCCCTCATGAGTGTGCATCTGTCCCCTGTGGCTTTCATTTGCAGGTCTGGGATAGCCGATGGACCGCAGGTCTCACCACACATTTGTCATCGCGATTTACTTCACGTAGTGGCTGTTCAAACATGTGCTCACTGCACGTCTGGGGTGTTTACTGCGAGACTTTAGAGGTCTTTGTGGGTCTGGGTCAGTTCCCTTGTCAGATGTGCAGATCAGTGCTTTTCAGAGAGAGCTTTCCAATCCCAGAGATGCTGACTCTGTCAGCGTGATCTCTCCCATCTCTTGCGGAGCTGTGCCATCCTGCTCACTGGATCAGGGCGCTTTGCCCATGGTGAAACTGAGTTCTTTTTGAGAGGATGGGAGGAAGAAGTGCTTGCTGAGTGGGTGACGCACTGTCCGTCCTCAGTGACATCAGTGCTGGTGTCCACAGCCTGGGGGTTTCCCCCGGGCGTGTGCTGTCCTCCTGGCCTCTTCCGTGTCCTCAGATCTGGCTCAGTGTCCTCTGCCGGACACAATGGGCAGTGCCTTCCCATGGGCAGACAGCATCTTGTTTGCTCCTAGTGCGGCAGCGGCTGGGAGAGTGGGCCTCTTGAGTGCTGGTGATGAGGCTGACCAAGCTGTCCATATCCTGTCAGGGCCAAAGGAGCCCCAGCGGGCACACCCGGCCCCGTGGTGGAAGGGGCACAGAGGGAAGTCATTTTTTGTTGCTTGTGATGGGCACCCAGGCTCCGCGGGCACCGTTGACAGTGGCAACCATGTCATGCCCACTACAGATAAAGAAGTATCTTGGTCTTGGTTACTTTTCTCTCATTGGCTGAGACAATAATCCAACACCCGGAAGGAAGGAAGGAAGGAAGGAAGGAAGGAAGGAAGGAGTTCTATTTAGCTCACAGTTTGTGGAGGTTTCTGTCCATAATGGGCTGCTCCAAGGCAGGGTGGTGGTGGCACGGGGCAGCAGTTCACGGTGGCCGAAAACAGTAAAACAAGAGTGAAAGGGGGGAGGAGCAAGCCTCAGTGCCACACTGGTGTCCCTGCAGATGCTGGGCCAGTGCACCCTGAGGTCTGTGTCGCCCACCTCTGGGACTCATAATAGGGAGACCTTGTTTCTTCAGCTGGGCCTGGGGAGGGGCCCGAGGGGAGCCCTCTGCACATCCTGCTGCCCTCGATGTCCAGACCGGGCCCTGCTCCTGGGAACCTTCTCCTCCCTTCCTCTGGTAGATCCTGAAGACGGTCCAGTCTCCCGTGTCCACGCCCACCATGGCCTGCCTCTGCCTGTGCCATCGCTTTGGGGGCCTGCTCCCGGTGCCCAGGGAACAGGCTGTGATGCCCTACTGGGTGCCCCGGGGCCTGCGGTCGCAGCAGCAGGTAAGGAGGAGGCTGGAAGGACACAGCGTCCTCCCCGAGGTGGGATTCCCCACGGAGGAGGCGGCGGCGGCAGGGTCAAGGGCTGTGGGCGAGCGAAGGCCGGGTGTGCAGCAGAGACCGCCCAGGTCCCCGGGGCTGCCAGGAAGCCCGGGGTGCCCGCTGGGGTGGGGCAGCCGTGCTGGCGCCGCCTGCTGCCGTCTTCCCCTCCTCTTCTGCTCTTTCCTCCCCGCTCCTCCCCTGTCCTGGCCGCCTTCTGCCAGCTCCTCCCTCCCCTGGCCCTGCCCCACCTCCATCTCTTTCTGCACCGCTCCATCTGCACAGGTGACAGAGGGGGTGCCTGGCAGTGGAGGGGAGGGGAGGGGAGGTCAGACTCCCCGCAGCTTCCCGGGGCTCAGCAGGTGTACTCACGGGGTGGTGTTTGCACTGCTGACACGGGACGCGTGGACCTCACATCTTGTGGCTGCCCCGCTCCGGTGGTTGCTGCTTTGTGTGTGTCATGGGTGGAGGCACCGTGTGCTGGTCCTCGTGCCCGCTCTGGCCTCCGCGATGGCACCTGTGAGTGACTGTCACTCGTGGGGCTGGTGTTCGCGGAAGGCGGGGCCTGCAGCAGGACTCAGGCACAGGGCGAGGGTGCTTGGGAGCCACCTCTCCTGGGTACCAGTGAGCCCTGTCCCAGCCATGGAGGTGGCGCCATCAGGTCACAGGAGCCCAGGCCATCATGGCCTTTGGGTGGGGCGCTCACTGCCAGGGCTGTCCCGGCCCTGTCCTCTGATGACCCCAGTGTGGTGGGCTCGAGGCTTGGATCGTGAGCTCAGTGAATGGCCTCAACGATGAGGAGGGGTGAGGAGGGTGAACGTGAACCCCGTGCTCGGAAGCAGGCCAGCTGGCGCACACCCTCTTGCGCTCTGAGGGACAGACCGAGAAGCCGCCCACAAAGCCCTCCCAGTGCCCATTCCACCTTAGTGGGCCGAGTGAGAGTCCCACCCTCTCCCCAGTCCCTGCTTCTGGGGCCCTGTCCTCACACCGCCCCCCTGCCCCCAGGACCCCCTTGGACTCTCAGTCCCGGCGCAACTGCTGGTGGATCCACAAGGTGTACCATCTGCTCACGAGGCAGCTGCTGGCCCTTCACCAGGACAAGCTGCGAGCCCCAGGGAGGGCAGCCTCTCCTGGCCCCCAGCCTCAGCCTTGTGACCCTCCTGCCGGCCTTCCCGGTGCCCTCGTGGTCATTTGGTGTGCAGGTGGGAAGTGGGGCCATGGGTGGTCCTAGGCCCATCGCTCACACCTAGGCATTTTGATCCCAAGGAAATGGGGGGAGTAGGGGGCCCTCCGGGTCCTGGTCCCTAGAGACTGCTGCTCCTCTTGTCTGGATGGACCTGGCAGGCCCATGACTCAGAGCCCACACAGCGGTCCTCTCCCACATGCTCAGCTAGAGATGCTGGCGCCATCCAGGCTGGGATGGGGGGCCCCTGTTCATCTCAGGGTGGACTGCAGTGTCCCCCGTCCTGCCCTGGGGGAACGCTGAGCTCCGGGCCCTGCTGTCCAGTTCTGCCCAGCAGGGATTTGCATCCCTCTGCAGAGGAGGGAGTGGCTGTCAGGCTGAGAGGGTGCTCAGGGTCCCCACCGGGCCGCTCCTGGTGCCCCATTCCAGCCCAGAGCTCCTCATCCCCTAGTGGGGAACCTCACACCTGAGGGGTGCCCTGTCTTCCCTGCCCAGGGTGCACCCAGGTGGGTTCCAGCCCAGGGACCCTCTCCACCCCTGCCTTTCGCTCTGCTCTCCGGCCAGGTGTTTCTGGTTTGACCTTCTAATCTGCCCCACAGCAGAGCGTCAGTGAAAATCTGAGGCGCAGAGCGGATCCCCAGCCAGAGGCTGCGGCGGGAGGCGCCAGTGAGGTCCACTGCCCCCCTGCGGTGGACTCTCTCCTGGGGTTCGGCCTCCGCACTGCTGCCCGGCTGCACCTGTGTCGGCGTGGACATGGGCGAGGTCTGTTGTGAGTGCGGAGAATAAATGTCCCCTGGGAACCGAAAGCAGCGTGGCCCGCAGTTCTCCTTTGGTGGGGTTCCCGCTTCAGCCCTGTGCCCAGGCGGAGGGCATTTCTGTGTGTCCCTCCTCTGCCAGGCGACACCGTTCACTGGGTGAGGCTCTGGGGATCATTTTATTTTTATTTGTTTTTATTTGTTTATGTTTTTAAACAAGCATAAAGCAAAGCAACAAAATGAAACAAAACACAGGATGACATTGGCCCTCAGTGACGGGGCAGCAGGACATCAGCCCTGGTTGCTGGAATGCACACTGCTGAGACCTCATACAAGGCCGGCAGGACCGTCGGCCGGCAGGCACAGCACCAGGCCTGTCTTCCCGTCAGACCCGTCACTGCAGAAACCTTCGGGGCGGCTGCTCGTCCCTGTCATGCTCCTTGGTCCCGACATTTTCCTGTCGTGTCAGCTGGGTGCCGAGTCCTGGGTGCTGCCTGCACTGGCCGCCCTTCCCTGGTGCGGGGACCGGGCTGGGACCAGGGCCCCTATGATCTGAGGCTCCCAGGGTGGTGGAGAGGCGGGGGCAGCGGCCCACTGATGCTCCCCTAATGGTGTTGGGGCCCTGGGTGTGGCTGCTTCTCTTTGGGGCCCGTGGTAGTGGGCCCACCGGGGCACATGGCCGCCACCTCTCCAGGGCTCGCTGGGGCGGCGTGGCTCTCCCCTCCCCGGCCACTGGGTGTGTGGCCTCTTCTCTGGGCCAGCAGTGGTGGGCACAGGGGGAGCCTGGCCCTGATAGTGGCAGGGTGTCTGGGTGAGGGGCTGTTGCTCTGCTGCTTATCTTTCCAGAAGTCCTCTGGGAACCACTTGAGTGTGTTTCAAGTGTGTCTCACTTTATTTTTGGTACCAGGAATTGAACTCAGGACCTCATGCTTGCCAGGCATGTGCTGCACCACTGAGCTATATCCTAGGCCCGGGATCTCAAAGAGTGAGATGAGATCTTGCTACATAGTCCAGGCTGGGCTGGAACTCACTGTGGGATTATTGGGAACCCTCCTGCCTCAGCCTACTGAGTGCTGGAATTATATGTATGCCACCGCACCCAGGCAAGGGGCTCACCGTAAACAGCATAAAATCACCAGTCGAAATTTTAAAGAACAGGTAACATTTACATGTCATAAAATTCACGCCTTTAAAGTACACTGGGCATGGTGGACACACCTGTACTGCCAGTACTTGGGAGGCTGAGGCAGGAGGATCACTGTGAGTTTGTGGCCAGCTGGGGCTACACAGTGAGTTCAGGGCTGGCTGAACTGCGTAGTGAAATCCTGCCTCAAAAAGACAAAACGAAAGCACGCGGCTCAGTGGCTTTTAACGCATTTACGTCTGGAGTGGCCGTCACCACCATCTGCCCCTGTGCACTTCGTGCCCCAAAAGGAGACCTTGTCTGTGGAGTGGTCGTCCCCGCTCTGCTCCCAGCTCCTGGAAGGAAGGGACCGTGCTGTGACAGAGCTGGCATCTGTGAGTGCACCGTGGTTATAAGCCTGGTCCTCGTGGCGGTTGCGCCCGACGCCTGTCCTCTGTGGCCAGCTGTGTCCTCTTCGGCATTGGCAGTGACGTACCTGGGGGGCCGCACTGTGGCGTCCCCGCTGTATGTAGAGCGTGCGGCCCTGTCATTTGAGATCTGTCCGGTGTGTCCCTGGGAGTGACACTCCGGGCTGTGCCTTGGTTAACGCAGTGGTGATGTCATAGTCCAAGGTGGGCTGCCTACCCGCTGACTATCGTGTCCTATGGGGGCTGGGCATGAGGCGCCCCAAGAGGGCGCTGTCCGAAGCCATCGGAGCCGGGGTATGACCTGGCTGCTCCCGAGGGCTGGGAAAGGCATTCCTGTCCTCGCAGAGGTCTCGAGCTCAAGGAGCACAAAAAATTCTGACCTCCTTCGGGCTCGAGGTTGTGAGTTCCATCCCTGTACCAAAAACAACAAATTCTGACTAGCCATTTCGTGTGCCTCTTTCCTATCATCCTGACCATTTAGTGGATGCTGCACGTAGCTTATCCCCGTCCGTGATTCCTCTGTGATCACAGCCACCTGTGGCCGAAGAGGAGCACAGCCAGGAAGGCTAAAGGACTTGCCTGGGATCACAGGGCTCGTGTACAGCCGAGATGGCATCGGAACCCAGGCCCTGTGGCCCAGAGTCCGTGGCGCTCACGTGGCTCTCTACACTGGGCCTCAGGCCTGGGCGAGTGGGGGACACTCAGTGCCAGCAGCGGAGCAGGAGGGTCCGTGTCCCGGGTCCTGACTCCTCAGCCATACCAGGCTGGGGGCTGAGGTCCGTGGGCATCGTCTAGGTCCTGGGAGAGGCAGCCACAGCGCCAGGAATCCAGGGTGCACCCCGAGTGGGGTGCCTGGCCCCTTGTCACCGTGCTTCCTGGGTCTCTGCTCCTGTCCTCTGATCTCGGAGGCTCTGACCTGGGCCTCGGAGCCACGCATACCGGGACACCTGCTCCTCCCACCCCGCCCAGCCGCTTCCTCACTCGGGGGCACCTCCATGCTATCGGGCCACCATGTGGGGTGCTCCACCTTCCCTCTGTGCAGGGCTCCCTGTCCTGGGGCTCCCACCTGCCGCCTGCAGGGCCCAGGACTGAAGGTTGCGGAGGAGCTCATGCCCTCAGTGAATCTTACTTCTCTAGGTTGGCCCTTTCCCGCAGTGAAGAGCGGCTGCCCGCCTGCCCACACTTGCTGTGACCCCGTGTCCTGGTAACCATGAGTCTGTTACTTACGGCACGAGTGGTTCACACACTTTCACCCCTATAAACGGTCACTGGGTTTTAGTCGCCAACCTGGGTCTTCCCCTGGTCAGAGGGAGGCCCAGCAGCCCAGGGTGCAGCCCAGACAGAGTTCTTCCCACTGTGGGTCTTGGGGCCTCTGTGCTGCGCCCTGGGCACCTCCATTCAGTACAGGGCGGCCCAGGGGGTGGGGGGAACCGTGCTGTGTGGGTGAGGGGCATGGCTTCCAGAGCCTGACTCTGCTGTGCACCCCTGGGTGCCCAGGGGCGGCTCCTGTGCCCTTGGTGGGGGCCGAGGCAGCCCACGAGGCCAGTGGGGCCCCTACAGGACACCTGCAGCCCCAGCCCCTGCCCAGCCCAGCCCTCAAGCTGCTCCGACTGCTCTCACTGCCTGGCCCCTCTGAGCTCACCAGATACCTGTGTGCTGAGGCTTGGGGTCTGGGAGGGCCTGTGGGGACCCAGGCCCAGCCACCACATTCACAGATGGGGATGCTGAGGCCCAGAGAGCGCAGCACCACATCCCAAGCTGCGTAGCACGACTCACTCAGGGGCGTCCTGCACCCCACCCAGGGCGCCTCATGCTTGACCCCCTATTCCACGGCTTCCAGCTGCCTCCTCCCCTCCTCCACACATCTCCCTGCTAGAGGGAGGCAGGTGGGTTTATTCTGGGGGAGTCAGCTGTGCCCACTCCCACCGAGGCCCCTGGGGGAAAGCTCTGTGATCAGCTAATGATGTCTGCCGCGGCCAGGGCTGGGCTGGTTGCAGGCTTTCATCACTGCCCGGTGACTCTCCCCGAGCTTGGCACTGGGTGATCTGGGTGTCCACTGTTTCCTGGGTTGGGGGCATCTCACTGAGGGGTTGGAGAGCCCACCAGAACAACTAGAAACTCCCTGTCCTCTGTTTCGCCGTTTCCAAGGAGCCTGCCCACTGGAGGGCACCGTTTTCTTGTTAAAGCAACAAAGCAGGCCGATGCAGAGCTGGGAAGATGCTGGCGGCAGGAGGCGGCCCAGCCTGGCATCTGGAGCAGGGAGGAGTCTGTGGTCTCGGCTCCTGCCACGCAAGCGTGTCCTCAGTCATCCCGCACTGTGGGGACACAGCCACCACTGCAGCCTGAGCTGCTGTGTGCCCCCACCAGGTCGTCTCCAGCATGGGCTGGGGCGCCTGGCCAGGTCAGCCAGGATCGTCTGAGAAATGATGTCACGAGGGGTCTCTCACCTGAGTGTATGGGGCCAGCACCCCCAGTGTCCCACATGTGAGTCAGCGGTCCCAGCTCTGGATCACTGTGAGACACGGAGAGGCACAGAGGTGGTCGGATGGCCGTGTCCTGGTTGGGAGGACTGGACAGGGCACGTGTGGGTGTGGCAAATGCTCCCCGGGCTGGCTCTGTGTCTGTCCACTTCGGATGTGGACTGGAGCCGAACGATCGAGTTCAAGTCTTGGCTACGCTGTTCATGTTCTCTGTGCCTCCGTTTCCCCTTCTGTAACTGGGGGATAGCCACAGCTCCCCGCTCCCAGACTGCTGAGCTGATGACAAATTAATCAGCACCAGGGAGGTGTTTGCTAAATAACAGAGAGCCCAATGGCTGGTGTTTATTGGCGGTTCAGACGGTTTGCTCTGAGTCCTGGATGGTCCTGGGTTCTGAGGCTGAGGTCACATCGCATGTGGCCTGGGCCCCTCGGCAGAGCCTGCTAATCTGACCCCGCGATGTGTTTTATGGGGTGCCTACTTGGAGCTGGTGCACGGCCGGCCCCTCGTGGGCTGCTGACGGCCCGCGTGAGAGCTAGTAATTGTTTCAAGCGTAGCTGCAGCCTTCCTGCGCTGGTTAACGACCCGCCGTAACGAGCTCGCTCCCCTGCGTGTTTGTCCAGTGCCTCATTCACGAGCACAGAATGGTGGTGGCGTTAATTTCAGGGGGACTTTAACCGATGGTGTGTGTTTGCAGAAGTTCCCCGCAGCCGACCTTTAGGTGCTAGGTCTGTTTGGGGCCATGTGAAATGTTTGGCGTCACCTGCAAGAAAGGAAAAGGCAGTGCTGTTTCCCTCGGGAAGAGAAGAGGCTTTCAGCCAAACATCGCTCTGCCGGGAAGCGTCCACTGAACTGCTGGGGGCTACCGTGGAAGTTTCCAGCACTGCCCTTAGCAGAAGGACTCCGGTTGCCACAACCAGGACAAACATCCTATCCCTTCATTTCCTGATCTGTTTACCACTCCACCAACCAACCAACAACCACTCTTCCATTCATCCACCCGCCATGCTTCCATCCGCCCA